GGGGGGGCTCCAGGTGTCCCGGCCCCGCCATCGCGCTCCCCGCATCCCCCCGCCAGACCAGCTCCATCTCCTTTGTTCTCCCCCGCACCACACTCGCCTGCGCTCGCATCCCTTTGTTATCCCCGGAGCGCGGTCTCATTTATCCGCGCGCACACGCGCGCTCCAGCTCAGGACCGGCGGTCCTTCCTGTCGTTTCCTCGGCCGGTTTCTTCTCCTGGACTTCCTGCCGCAGCAAAACCGGAGGAAATCAGAGGGCCACGTCGAAAGAGAGAGAGGCCGGAGGGGGGGGGGCTGCCGCGCGGTCTGTATTCCTTCTTAAAGAAAGGGAGAAGAAAAGCAAAGGATATTTGGTGCCCCGGTTGATTTCTTCCAAGAAGTAAAAGGTCTAATTCATTGCAGGGATGGCGCCAGGAAGCTCAGGCTGAGAACGAGCTGAGGTTTAGGAAGGGATGCTAAGAGCGGCAGAAAACCTTCAGGTACGTGCATAGCGAGAGGGAGGAAAGAAAGGGCGACTCAGCGACTGCAGGAGGGCGGCAAAATGAAAACAGATGACCAGGAAAGGGCCCAAGTGCACGATTCCCATTGTGGCTTGGACTTCTTCCAAGCCGAGGTCTAGGATCTCCCCGGCAAAGATGAAGTATGAGCTGCGCCTGCAGCCTGGGACTGCTGGGCAAATGGTCGAGGGCTGCCTAACGAGGTCAGATATCCAGGGCCGGAGGAGCGGCGTCCTGGAGTAATAAAAGAACCGGCAGAACTCTCGGGACGGCTGTCGATTATCCTGGAGAAGCCATGGAGGACAGGAGAAGGGCCAGTGTTGTCCGTGTAAAGGGGGGAAAGGCGGAACCTGGGGACTACCGGCCAGTCAGTTCGATGTCAATCCCAGGGAAAATTCTGAAGCAGTTTATAAAGCAGACGATCTGCAAACTCCTCAGAACCAATGCAATGATTATTGGAAGCCAGCAAGAATTTGTCAAGAACAATTCCTGCCAGACTGATTTGATTTCATTTTTTGATTGGCTGATCTCCCTGTGAATGGTGGGAATGCTGTGGACATAACGCACCTTGACTTCAGCAATGCTGTTGACAAAGTACCCCATGATCCTGATTAGCAAACTATCTGAAAGAGGGCTGGATGGAATGACCATGCAGTTGGCAACAGAATCAGACTTAAGCTGTAGCACCTTCTCAGACTGGGGGAAGGTGGAAAACTGCAGGGTTCAGTCCTGGCTCCAGTGCTCTTCAACATTTTTATTGATTTGGATGAGGAAGTGCAGGAACAATTAACAGATTTGCAGATGACACAAAACTAGGTGGGGTAGGTAATATCCTGGAAGGGAGAAACACAATTCGAAGTGATCTTGAGAGGTTGGGGAACTGGGCGGAAAACAACAGAATGGAATTCGGTAGGGACAAGAGCCAGGTTTTGCGCCCAGGAGAAGAAACCAAATGCTCAGTTACAAGAGAGGAGAAACTTGGCTCAACAGTACTACAAGTACAAAGGATCTTGGAATTGTTCTAGAGCAGAAGCTATGTAAGAGTCAACAATGTGATGTGGCTGCAAAGAAAGCTAATGCAATACTGGGCTGCATTAATAGAAGTACAGCTTCCAGATCTCATGAGGTACGGGTTCCCCTCTGATTAGCACTAATTAGGCCCCATCTTGGGTATTATTTATTTATTTATTAGAACATTTCTATGCCGCCCCTTGCCGAAGCCTCGGGGCGGCTTACAACACAATAAAATACAAAAATAACAATATAAAATTAAAATTAACAATATAAAATAAATAAAAATATAAAAGAAGTCGCCCTGGCCAGATAAATAAGCAAATATTGTTAACAATTAATGTGCAGTTCTGGGCACCACACTTCAAGAAATACGCAGACAAACTATAAAAAGTTCAGGGAAGGATGTTGGAGTTGCCCTAATAAAAGTTAAACTTTAGATGCTAAATGGATGTTAGACATGTGAACATAAATTGGGTTAAAAGTCTTTAGTTCTTTTTTAAGCTTGGAACTTTCTTCTCTTTCACTTTTTAGTGGATATTAGACTGAAATACTAGTAAGCAAAAAATGTATTTGATCGTATTTGTAACTATTATAATGAGGAGTTTATCTGTTTAATATTAGAAAAATGAAACGATCTGGAATTGTGCAGAGTTGGTTAGAAGAAGAAAGAAGATATTGACTTTTATCAAATTTGGAGAGTCTTTCTTTTAATATTGGTCAAGGAAAACAGGACTCTGTAAGAAATGGATGGACTGATCTTACCGCAGAAGAAGAAAGAAGATAGAGACTTCTATCAAATTTGGAACCCTTTTTTTTGGGGGGGGGGGCTGGAGAAACGGGACTTGGTTTAGATCTAAAAATGTTTTTTAAGATTCCATAAATGGATCTGAATATGATTACAGAACGCTGAAAGATATGTAGTTAGGGGCTGTCTCAGTAGTTCCGATGTTTGTGATGATTGATGTTTGTAGTACTGTTTTAAAATTTAATAAAAAAGTACTGCAAAAAAAGAGTTAAACTTTAGAATATAGAAAACTGACTATTTTCCCCCCCCCCCCCGCGCCCCACCCCCCACACACAATCATCTGCCAGGTTTTTCCATTCAGGCTCCTTCTATGGAAAATGGAGACAAGCCCCAGGACGTGCTAATATAGGCAGCATTTGCATATGTAATACCCCTGTAATGTCCTACCTCTGACTGTAAAAAGCAAATACTGAAACCTGATTGTTTTACTTGTTATCAGTCACTTATGATCCTCAGGCCTTTTCCAATGTTTCTGAATTTTGCTTTTGTGCTTCTATTGTTCTTGCTCATTCAAGGTCTCCTTCCCCTTCCCCCCCCTACTGTGAATGTGACTCCAAGTCCATAAAACACTCTGAACATGCTCTGTTCTTCCTAGCAGTCTTGGACTGCTGCTCTTCAGCACTGTTGTAATTTAGGGATTTCTGTCTCTGTCAATAAAATTGCTGAGTGCCTGCTTGTATGCTTCCACGAACCGAGTCTTCATTCCAAGCAGGTCTGGGATCCTGACAAGGGCAGCGAAGAAGATCTGGGGACTTGAAACAAAGACCTATGAGGAAAGAGCACAAGTGCTGAGCTTGGTTAGTCACGGGATGAGAAGATTGAGGGGAAATACAATATCACTTTTCAAATCCTTGAATGGCTGTCGCACTGTGGAGAGCCAGAATCTTCACCAATCACCCCAGAGAGCAGGACATGGAATAAAAGGGTCAAGCTATAGGGAGCCAAATTCTGGCTGGACATCAGGAGAAACTTCCTGACTGTTCGGGCAGTGCAAGAATGGAACCCAGGACCTAGGAGGCATCCAAGACGCGGCTGGACAGCCGTTGGTCAGGGATGCTTTAACCTTGAGTCCTGCCTAGGGCCCAGCGCACTGATTGGAAACCTCTAAACTCTAAATTCTGTTTTTCCTATATAAAGAAATGCTGAAGCACAGGGAACAGCCGCTGCTTTGCTGGAGCAGAAGTGGAACGGTCGCAAGGGGAAAGGGAGGTCCAGTCCCCACCCCAAACACAAGCCCCTCCGAGCTGTAACCAGAGTGAATGATGAACTAAAGGGATGTGCTAGACCAGGTGCTTCACCTGCTCCCAGCACCCGAATCACTGAAAATACATATTTTGCTCAACCTGCAAACGAACACACATGCATCACACATTTTAAAAACACTGAATAGCAGCCAAACCAAAATATAGTAAGACTCCTGGGCTGCTGAGAAAGGTCCCAGATACATAACAGCTCACCTGCCCTGATCTGCCACCATTCCGCAGGCCACCTGGAGGGAACTTGTGGGCCATCACAGTTTAGAAATCTGTGCCTGATGCTTTTTCAATGCTATACAGAGACCTCATGACCTCTTCTGCAAAGGGGCACAGAGGAGGAAGTGTCCTGGAGTGTGGATGGCAGGGTGGACCAGGGTGCAGGGTGCAGTCCTGCAGCAAGTTCAGAGAGCCAGAAGCAAGAGACACATTTAAGTCCCCAAAGTCAAAGCCAGGGAGACGCTGTTTCCAAGCAAACACAATCCATAGGCAGAGTCCAAAAGCAGAGTCCAAAGGAAGAAAATCCAGGAAGAAAATCGCATTCAAAAGCAAGGCAAGGTCAGGGAGGATGGGCAGGGTACCGGGAGTTTACAATCTTTCCTCCCACCTATTCCACGCTGCTCCAGTACCGGCCCTTCTTCCCAATCCGGCTCTGCCCCTGCTGAGCCACAATATGCTCATTGTGTCCTGCCAAGCTTGTCAATTAACAATCAGGAAGTCATTGGGCCAATATCCAGCCATTTTGTCTACATGCCGGTTTTCTCGCACTCTGTACGCCCCCCAACCCCTCTTTTAGGGTAAGGAATTTTCTTTGTTACCTTTTTTTTTTGCCCTTCCTACTTCCTTGTTTCAAATCATCCTATCACTCATCAATGGCACCTTCTCAAATTAGAGAACGGTAACTACTGAGGTGCAACAGAGTTCAGTTCTGGGCCCAGTGCTCTTCAACATATATATTCATGGTTTAGATGAGGAAGTACAAGGAATGAAAATCAGATTTGCAGATGACACAAAACTGGGTGGAATTGTAGAAAAAATAGAGTATCGCAAGGGCCAAATTTAGCCTGCATGCAGGCTAACACCCTAGAAGATAGAATGAAGATCCAGGGGG